TGAGCATGCGATGGTGTTGTCCTCGTGTCATGACTTGGTTCAAAGAAGTTGTTGCCAAATATGATCATATCAGCACTAGTGTAACCGATTATAAGAACCCTTAATGGAATTAGAACCCTTATAAAAAAGTCTTAAGATGTGTACATCTATTATATCAGGCTCAATTTGTTTACATCTACTTTAAAATGAAGGTAATTGCCAAAAAAATTTCATAAATTTTTTTTCATGATCATACACATATGCATATGGTACCATCAAATAAAAAAGTCTTAAATATAACATGGCAATCATACGTAACAAATCACATTCATAAATAACATTCAATCACAAATTAATTATAGACATCATACTTATTTTTCCAACCTCTCCCTAAGGCTGAAAGTAGAGCCACTAACTTTAATAGAGATCCAAAGTAATGTGGGTTCAATCGACAAAAGTTCTTTACTCGACCTAAATATTGACGGAAACTATATATATGTATGTATATTTGTATGAATTGTAAGATATGTAGATAGATGAACGTTGATTGAGAGAAAGTCAAGCAAACATGTCAAGTTTAGAGATTGAAAGGCTAGTCAAAGGACAAATGGGTGACCATTATTTTTTAAAAATTCAATTCTATTTTGGGCCACTCAATCACTATAAAAGGCTTACTCCCCTACCATTCCATATCATCCCATTCATCTTAATCTCCATTCTATTCGTTCACTTTTCCCACTTCTTTCAACTATCTTAACTGAGCACAAGATTGATTACACTCCCATTCCGACGAGTGCACGTCTTAATTGGAGGTTGTGTTAACCTTGGGGAGCATATCRACAGTAAAACGATTTAGCATCGAGGTCGTGCCAATTTTGCTTTCAAGGCAGTGGTTCCGCCCACGGCACAACGTTTTTACCTCCTGGTTCCAATTTTGTCCTTTATTTCCATACAGTTGAATGCAAAACTGCTAATGGCTGCTATCTGATCTAGGAAGATCCTGTCGGACTTGTCAAAATTGGAACCACTCCACGGATCCAACTATCGCCGATGGTCACAGAAGTTATTGATCTTCTTTGAGTAGTTGGAGATCGACTACATTCTAACTGCTGCTCAGCCCGCCGCCGTTACTACTGCTGCCACCACTACAGCCGCTGTTGATGCAACTACCGCTACCATCACCGCAACCGTCACTGATTTGTCTGCCGTTGCTGCTGCCACCGTTTCAGTTGCTGCTGCTGTTCCCAGGACGTCTACTGTCGTTGAAGCTGATAAATTCGAGAAAGACAATAAAATGGTCTGTGGGCAGATTCTCAACCATATGAAGGACTCTTTCTTTGATCTCTTTGTAGTCCAAAATTTTGCAAATGTCATTTGGGACACGTTAGAGTCTAGATATGGTGGGGACGATGCAGACAGAAGGAAGTACGTCGTCGGTAAATGACTTCAATTTCAAATGTCGGACGACAAATCAGTGATGGACCAGGTTCATGAGTATGAGAACCTGGTGGCAAGTGTGCTGTCTGAAGGCATGATGATGTGTGAGATTCTTCAGGCCAATGTGTTGCTTGAGAAATTCCCTCATTCTTAGAGTGATTATCGCAACCACTTGAAACATAAGAAGAAGGACCTGACTCTGCAAGAGTTGATCAGTCACGTGCGCATGGAGGAAGCCAACAGACTAAAGGATAAACTCTCTTCTCAATCCCCAAATTCAGTTAAAGCTTATTTAGTTGAATCTTCTTGTGCTTCCAAAGACAGGTTCAAGAATAAAGGGAATTAAATTGCAAGGGATAGAGCTCAAAAGAACAAAGGTCTCCAACCTAAAAATACTAGTGGAAGAATCGAGAAATCCAAACTGGTCTGCTATGTCTGTGGAGAACCTGAGCACAAATCCTATTAGTGCACTCAGAGGAAAGATAGGAAAGATCAAAGGGCTACTCGACAAGTCAACCTTACAGAGACGGATGACATCATTGACGTTGTGGTTGTGGAAGCAAATCTAGTAGAGAACAAATCTGATTGGATTCTTGACACAGGAGTATCCAGACATTTCTGCTCGAACCGTGACCTCTTCCATGACTTTCACGACTCTGCCGACGATGAATATGTTTTCATGGGAAACTCTGCCACAGTTGGAGTACTTGGGAAAGGGAATGTTCTCTTGAAACTCACATCTGGTAAAACTTTATCATTAAGTAATGTGCTGTATGTTCCTTCCCTACATAGGAATCTGGTGTCAGGAGGTCTACTGAATCGAGCCGGACTTAGGATTGTGTTTGAGGCCGACAAGGTTATTATCACCAAAAATGGTGGCTTTGTAGGTAAGGTCTATTTAGTAGATGGTTTGTTTGTTCTCAACACTACTTCTAATGAAATTAATTCTAGTTCTGCTTACATCGTTGAGTCTCTTGATGTGTGACATGGTAGATTAGGGCATGTGAATATTGCATCAATTAAAAGGCTTAGGACTCTAAATTTAATTAATGCTTCCGATTTGCCTGAAACTACAAAGTGTCATGTCT